TATCAATTACTCCACCGGCCTCGCTCCGTTCCCACGGCTCTCGGCCCCGCCCCCCTCGTCACACTTATGCTTGTGTCTTTCTTAGCTAATTTCAGCTTTGTCAAGAAATTGGTTTCCTGTATAAATCTGTTAATCTATGCCGCCACTTTCAAGAAAAGTTGAAAACATTGCATCCAGTGTGCTACAGCTCACTCGAGGGAAATCTCTTTTAGCAAAGCTGCACAAAGAAGCTAAAGAAGAATCTGTGAGTGAAGACCATCTTTTTTAATTTACTCTTAAACTTTGTCCTTATTATTAAGCCCATCTAATTCTAGCATTGGTTGGATTCCAACATATTTGTATGTCATATCTTATGTTTCAGGAATTGTTTTTCAACAGCACTTATCATGTTGCCAGCCTTGTTCAGAGAGAAGCTTGCACATTTCGTTGTGCTTGGAGAGGTGAGCATATAGTTCTCTGTCTGACTTGTATGTTTGTGATAAATGCATTTTATAATTCATAAACTGTATTTACTGTGCCCACATACTAATGGGGTCAATAACATTATACCAAAAGTTCCCAAGGATTTGTAATTTGTAAATCCAGTTAAATTCAAATTTTAAATAATGGCTCGTCCCTTGTCATTGTCACCTATCAGTGACGTAATATCTGCGCTCTCCTCAGTTTCTGCTTGTAGAAACTATGGCAACACACGTGGACAAGTGGTGGTTATACAGCATCTAGTATGCAACTGTTATGTTGTTCGGTCATCATGGATCACAATTATTCATTGGCAAAAATCCAAAAGACAGAAACGTAGATCAACTGAGGCAAGCAGGCTTTGGGACAAATGGAGAAATAAAACAAGGATCTATATCGGCATGGCGTTTTCGAGATGGAGAGAGCTTCACGACAAACTTGGACTTGACAAGAGACTCTGCTCTCTGATTGTTCAAATGTACTTTTAGTATGATTGTTTTAAAGACGTAAAACTTTGCAACATTAACCAACCAAATCATTTGACAAATAGTCACATTTCAGTAATAGGCTAATATTAGA